ATAACTCTAATGCCCCAAATGCCCTCAGAAGTGTTCTCGGAGGGGATAGCCCAATCTTAGGCTCCTCCCTTGTGTTTGCCATGTGTCAGATGGCTTACCCATCTGCTTTAGGAAAAACAATTAGGGAGAAATTATGATGCGGAGGGCTCACCCTGAATGTTACTCCGCATTAAGGCAGCTCTAGTGCTTTTAAGTTGAGGGAGCTTAACAGCCTGCTTTCTGAGCAAACACCACAAGACCAGGGGAGCTGCACATGTCAGCTGCTTGTGGTGGTTCTTGTCATTAGTCACCTTGCTCTGGTTCACCAGGGCAGACAGGAGTCAAGAACCAGGCTGGGAACAACCGTCCAGTCAGTTGAGGTGAGGGGAACATCTGCTTGGCTCACAGTGTGCTCACTTCTCCAGAGTTATGTGAAGAGCTCAGGCACTGCAGCCGACAGGCCTCCATTATGAAGAATCTCTTTTAAGCAAAGTTTTGATGAATGACAATTCTGTTTCATCTGGGCTGGAACCCTTTTTTTTTTTTTAAACCTGGCTCAAACCTTTCTAGAGTGTTGTGTGCCAAGTCAATATTTTGGTAATTATGCAGAAGGAACACCAGATGGTTCCTGAGGATGACACTCTGGGTGGGAGCCCTGGTGACTGTAGCTGTGGTAAACTCCACAGACCTATAATCATCAGCATCCATAGCAACATGTGCTTTTGTCACAGAGGAATAGACTATTAAAAACATTGTTAAAGTTAAAAAAGCATTGAGGAAGAGTCCAGGTCGCAAACATATACATACATGTCTTTGTACCCCAAAAACCATGTAGTAAGAAGGTATAACAAGTGTGTAAGGTGTAAGAAGTAACAAGGGGCATTCCTGCTTGCTATGTTTGTTCAGTATAGTACATATATAGGTTTCCTGAGAAGTTTATTGTTTTCCTCTCATGCCACCTTTCTCCCTTGTCCTAGCCATCTCCCAAATCAGCAAATCATTTTTACTCAACGGGATCAAAATTTGCCTCTCATCTAGGTAATTTCACTCTCTGTCTCTCTCTCATGTAATTACATAGATAGCTTACATATATATACACACACACACACACACACACACGTATATATATATGTATACATATGTATATATATGTATATATATGTATATATATATATATATAAAAAATTATGGATATCATCTATCTATATTTATCACCTACTATGTGCCAGGTAGTGTGCTAGTATGGGGATGAAACTTATAGGAATATGAATACAAAGAAAGAAACAATCTCTACTCAAAAGGAACTTACATTCTAATGAATAGTAGGACACATTCCCATAGGACTTTTAAAAGGCTTTCTCTGATTGTGAAAGGAGGTGGCCCATATTGCTTGGAGGCTAAGCCTGTTTCATACAAGCCCCAGCAAGTCCCACCAAGTAGCAGAGGTGTTCTTTAATTATAGGCCTAGAGGTAAACAATCACAAAATCACAGAATGTAAGAGTTGGAAGGGACCTCGGTGGCCATCTAGTGTAACTCAAACCTGAAGAGAATCCTTTGATAACTTATCTGATAAGCCATTAGTTAGCCTTTCCTTGGAGCCCTCCACTGAGAGGTGGGAGGTGAGGGGTGAGGGGGCATGTCATTTCAGCTTTGAGGGGAGCTCTGTTAAGAAGTATTTTCTGACATCAAGCCTAAATTCACTCTTTGAAGCTTCTAAATCTTTCTCCTAGCTCTACCCTTGAGGACCAAGGAGAACTAGCCTAGTCTCTTTCCCACATGACATAGATGCTATCATGTGCATTCCTCTGCACCTCCCCCTTCCCCAGCTCTTCTCTAGGCTCAGCATTTCCAGATACTTCAACCAAATCTCACATGGCATGATTTCAGAGTCCTTCACTGTGCTGGCTTCTCTCCTCTGGCTATTTTCCAGGTTAACAATGCTCTTCCTAAAATGTGGTGTCCAAAGCTGATGAGAGTGCTCATCAGTGAACAGCCTCCTTGGTGAGTGACATGTCTTGTGTAGGTCACATTGGCTTTCTTGGGTACCAGGCTCTGGTGCACACTCATCTGAAGCTTGTGGTCTACCAAAATACCAACATCTTTTTCGATGAATTACTGTCTAATATGGGCAACTAGGTGGCGCAGTGGATAGAGTGCAGGGCCTGAAGTCAAGGAGACATTTTCCTGAGTTGGAATATGACCTCAGACACTTCAAGCTATGTGACTCTGGGCAATCATTTAACCCCGTTTGCCTCAGTTTCCTCTTCTATAAAAGGAGCTGAGAAGGAAATGGCAGACCACTCCAGTATCTCTGCTATGAAAACCCTTAATGGGGTCATGAAGAGTTGCACATGACTGAAAATGACTGAACAACAGCAACTATCTAATATGCTTGTGCCATGATATATTTGTAAATTTGATTTTTTGGAACTCATTTACATCTATCCCTATTGAATTTCTTCTTTTTTGATGTGGTTCCATGTTTTGGCTCATCCAAATATTTTTGAATCTTGAATCTGTAATCCAAAGGCATTTTTATTTCCCCTCCCAGTTTTGTGTCCTCTGTGCATCAGATAAGTGTTCCATTCATGTCTTTATCCACATCATTGATCAACATAGGACCAAGCAGGGATGCCTGAGGGAAGTCAGGAGAGGAGAGGGTGCTCCCTCAGAGGCCTTTCCGTACTGATATCAAACTGGCAGTTTGGATCTAGCCATTCAACCAGTTCTGGATTTATTTACTTCCAGCCCCACAGAACCTCTCCATCTCAGCCTTGCTTGGTGTGGAGAGGTTCATTAACAGAGGTCTGGCTGCCAGTTAATGAGATCTTTGGCAACAGTGACCCATGAAACTCCATTTGCCTTGTGCTAGTCCTCCAGAAGGAGGGCCCATTGACCTCATGAATGACTCTCTGATGTTCCTCATTGGCAGTTTGTGAGAGAAAGGGCTCTGGGAAGGACAGACTTGAAGTGAACCCACAGCAGTAGTGGCGTGTCTCCATTGTCCGGCAGCGTATGATAAGAGCACACGCCTTGATTTCAAACCAAGACCAGCCCAGGGAATGGAAACTTGTGTTGTTCTGCATTTATACCAAGAAGCTCCCCATCCATTATTCTGTCATTAGCTCATATTATCTTTTGTTCATGGAAAGATAGGTCTTTTTTTTTAAAAGGGTTGCCCCACCATGCACAGTAGACTGATTTTCAAAAATTGTAGTTGTTTGTTCCTGAGGTGTACCATCTTCTTTTTCTGTCCGCCACATTTAATGAGGCAGTTAGGTGGCGCCTCAATGCACAGAGCTCTGGGCCTGGAGTCAGGAAGGCCTCAGACACTTACTAGTTGTGTGTCCCAGGGCAAGTCACTTAACCTCTGGCTGCCCCAGTTTTCTCAACTGCAAAATGAGAATAACAACAGTACCTAACTCCCAGGGTTGTTGTGAGGAACCAATGAGGTAATATTTGTCAAAAGTGCTTATAATGTCTGGCACGTGCTATGTGCTACGTAACTGCTTTATATGTGCTATATAACTCTTTCCTTCCCTTCCCCTTACTGAGCTCCTTTGGTCAGTTAATGATGTTTACTGAGAGCACTCCATCGAAGTACTGCCTCTCTCACAATTAGACACTCCTTGGAGTTAATGGAAAAAAGTGCCATTTAACATGAAAACATTCTACCTGAGAGAAGTAATATATGGTCCCATTAACATTGATTCATTAGTGCCACATTAATTGATCAGTTTCCTTCTGGAAGACAGGATCCCAGAGTCATAGGATAAAGAACAGTTATGTTTTGATGAAGAGAAGGAAACATCCAGTCTAATCCAGTCCAACTTGTGAGGCACTATGCTAAGGTCCTAGGGATACAAAGACATTAACAAGGCAGTCCTTACTCTCAAGGAGCTTAAATTCTGTTTGGTGAAGGATGGGGCAGGATTCAACATGTAAACCAGTAAGGACATATATGATAATTTGAAGAGTCACTGAACCCCCAGAAAGGAGATGAGAATGACCCTAATAGTGAAGTCAGAGGGTCACCAAAGACCAACTTGACCTGCTTTGCCATTTGACATAGGGATATTTAGCTTCTCTTTCTCTCCCAACTGATTTTCTGTATTGCACAGGAAATGAAATAAAGTCATTTCTTTTGGCTGGCCCAGAATCTTAGATTTTTTCTGGCTCTCGGCAAATAGGGAGGCAAGTAACTACCTGCAAGGTTGTAGTGTGATTTCAGGAGTATGCCTTCTCCCAAGTACACAGAATAGGCCAAATGTGCCAAGCTTGCTGCTTTCTACTCAGCCCCCTCAATTAGCACATTCTGAATCTTTCATCCTTCTGCACATTTTCCTTTTCTCAGATGTCATTCGTTCTGGTTAGCTCTGATGTGACACAAGATTGGTAAATCTTTCATCCCTTGGATGTCTGTGCACAAAATAGGGCACAGAGGTAGCCAAATGAGCTTAGAAAGACGAGCATGAGATTAATTGCGATGAAGGCAATATTCATTAAAGTGGTGATTGAGTAGGATTCAGGAGAATTAAAATGAAAAGCTCTGTTAAAATGTACATGGAGTGATGTCAAATTCATTGCTTATCGATCATGGAGGAAGGAGGTGACCCAGAATGAATGACCTGGTGAATGTGACCTCTTTTGTAGTGACCATTTTATTTCTGCACAAATGGTTAACTTGCTGCTGCATTCCAAAAGGGTGTGTATGCTGGAAAGAGGGCAAGGGCAGATAAAAAAAAAAAGGAATCATTCTTGCTTAAGGGAGTAAAGTATGCCTGGCTAGAATAAAATAAAGAAATAAAAAAAAATCTCAGAGAAAGAAGGAGTGTTTTCAATAGACCTGTCTGGGAGTAGTTACAACTTGTTCTCCTGTCACTTATATAGGCTTTTTTCTATAGTGTTTACTCTGGTATTCATTAAAACAAAACCAAAATACTAGAGTCTTCTCTGCTTTGCTGAAGAACATTCTACAGTCTATTGAAAACACAGAGTATTATCTTAAAGATACTTTATTCTGCCATGCAGGTTTGGCATTGTGATAGAGTAACAGAGTCCATGCCTGATAGTTTAATTCAATCAGCTCTACTGACTGTGGGAGTCTGAAAAAGAAAAAAAAGGTTGGCATAATTAACTTAAAGATTACCCTGATGGTGTATTTTTTTGGAAGGGTCAATACCTGCAATTTCATCTAATTATTGTGGGGAACTTCTGGTGTGGAAACTCTCTACCAGTATTAATTAGTTGGAAAGTTTGGTTGGGCAACTCTTTTACCTGCAGGAGATTTGCCTGAGGGCACTTGGAGATTAGTGACTAGTCCATGATCACACAGAGGCTGGACTTCAACTCAGATTTTTGTGACTTCAAGGCTAACAGTCCTCATTGCTTTCATCCTGTAATATAAGTTTAGAGTTAGCATATTTAAAAGATCAGACTTTTTCAGGTCACCTGAAATTCCTAAGTTTCTTGACTTTTTGTGAAATTTGAGCAGGTCTATGATTGTGCTTTGGTATTAATATTTATACTTGGTTCAATTAAAGGTGCCAAGTCAAGAGGAGAAATATCAGCATATCTACCTTGTTTGTTCTCATTCATATCAAGGGTCACAACTTCGTGGTGAATAATGCATAGAACTACTTTTTTTTTTTAAACAAAAGATACCTCATTAAATTTTGAGAGACATCAAATTTGAGAGGTACTCTTTCTTTGAAATATATCTCTTATCCATCTTCTTCCTTTCCTTCCAATTGCTATCATCCTAGTTCAAGCCTTACCACATCATTCTTGTACTATTGAAATAGCCTCCTAATGGCTCTTCCTGCCTACAGTCCCCTCTTTCCCATCTCACTCAACTCTGATCCACATTGCCCACTGCTGCTGTATTAATTCATTACTTGAAATTCTTACATGACTTTATATTTCCCCCAATGGAACCCAAATTCATACTCTTGGCACTCAAGACCCTTAATCATTTGACTTCAACTTTCCTTTAAGATTTTATTTCCCATTAGTTCCATAATGAATTCTCTAAGCCAGCCAAGCAGGTCCCCTACTTCTCCTTTGAACATTATACAGTCTGTTGGAGCCCCAGAGTACATCTTAAAGACACTTTATTCTGCAATACAGGTTTGGCATTGTGATGTGAACCTTTGGTCACAAATTTCCTTCCCACCCCCTAGAGTTGAGTGCCCTCTTCCATTCTTCTTTTAGACCAATTCAAATCCTATCCATCCTTAAAGATAAAGGTAAAATTCCACATTCTCAATGAAGCTCTCAGTGCTTATCCAGTCTAACCTATGTTGATATCTTCTTTCTCCAAATGCCTATAGATTTTATTTCCAGTGCTATTAAGGCAATAATCATCTGTTGCCTTGAGACAACTCTTATTATTTTGTTTTAATATCTTGTGTTATTATTTAAATTTTCAGATGTTTATGTCTTATCTCCTCATCCCCTGGACTATGCTTAAATAGTAACACCTCATTTGTCTAGCATCTCTCAGGGTGTTCCAAGGTATTGTACATAAATGAAATTTCCAGATAACTGAAATGTCTTCTGGTCTGTAAGTCTCTAGTGTCATATTTTTAAAGTTCTTATGTTCCTTCCCCAGTTATCAATTGTCAGTGATTTTTCCTTTTGATGTATTAAAATGTACCATCAGATTTTGCCACAGACCAAATCTATTCCCTTTTCTATGTGACTACCTTTCAAATATTCAGACTTATTGTAGCACTGCCTCACTTCTCATCCCTTAGCAAAAAAATCTCTAAACAAACCAACAACCCTGTTTCCATAGATCTGTCCTTATACTTCCTAAAATCTCTATCTGACCCTTTTCTGGAACCCCCATATCTGGATAGAAGCTTCCCTGTTCCAATGCAACCTTATTAATTGGTCCCTTCCTGCCTGTGACATCAGGCTTGCCTGAGTGAGACCCTCCCTATAACATATCTGTCCTTTCACAACCCAAGAATCCTTGTGTGAGACATCTCAGGCATTACTGCCTCAAAATAGGAGGGGTGTCAAGAGCCTCACATAGCCTGGTTGTTGGGTCAAGAGTGGAACTCTTGCAGAGTAATTGATCCCCTTCCTCCTCCTGTCATGGTCTAAAGTTCATACCAGCCCAGACCTAGATGACTCTTGGATTCAAAGTGATTTTTGAATCTTCTAAGGCACCAATGGATTGCCATTTCCATTTTCATGGGTATCTCAGGTTAAATGATTTTCCCTTTGTGAATGAAGCCTGTTGCTTTAGCACCATTGGACAGTTTGTTTCTTCTGTGGAAATCTCTAAATCCTCGACAAGCATCTACAATAGACTGGATTATCAATCTAAGTCTCTTTTCTAGGCTAAATATATCCACTTCCTTCAACCATTCTTCACATCACATGGTTTTGAGACTTGCTTTCGATTCAGGTTGCTCTTCTTTGAACTTACTTAATTTTGTCAATATCCCTTGTAGACTGATTTCATGGGGATGGTAGACCTTGAAGGGTGGATTGGATTTGGATTGGTTAAGAAGAGGGGCAAATCACACATGTAGGAGTTGGCTGGCCCTGTGGATAGGCTCTTTTCTTTCCAAAGTTATCAATGATCTCTTAATTGCCACATCATATGGCTTTTTCTCAATATTCATCCTTCATTTCTTTGTAGTATTTGACATTGTTGACAATTTTCACTTTGTGGATACTTTCTTTTTTCAGGGTTTTAAAAAATTCTTTTCTTGCTTGCTTTTTCTTTTACCTACTTGTCTGCTCCTCATTTTCCTTTGCTGGATTGTTGTTTATTTCATGCTCCCTAGCTGTAGATGTATCCCAAGGCTTTTTCCTGGACCATGAACTCTTCTCTCATCTATACTCTTTATCTCTATCAGCTCACATGGATATTATTAGTATCTTTATTCAGATGACTCCCATTTCTATATATTCAGTCCTAATCTTTCTTCTGCATAGCTCCCTGCCTATTGCACATTCTGAACAATATCAGAACCCATTATCCACCCCTCTCCAACTCCCACTTCTAAACCCATTCAAACTTCCTAATCTCTCTTTAGGGTACCACTATCCTTACTGTCCCCCATGTTAACAGTTTTATAGTTATCCTTGCTGTTTCACTTTCCCACACCCTGCATATCCAATATGTTGCTAAGTTTTGGCAATTCAATTTTACCTCTCTCTCCAATCACGTTGCTGCCATCCTTGTTCAGGCTCTCATCACCTCTTGCCTGGACTACTGCAATAGCCTTCTGATTCATCTTCTTACCTCAAGCCTTTTCTCTAACCAATCTGTCCTGTACACAGCTCCCAAAGTGATATCCCTGAGCACAAGCACAACTATCTCATTCCCTTGCTCAGGAAACTCCAATGAATCCCCTAGAACAATGCAAACTGTTGGAGCAAACTCCCATTTGGCACTGGAGTATCCTACTTCCATTCTACCTGTCCAGCTTTATTTTATATTACACATTCTGTGGATTAAGCAACCTGTTTGCTGCTTCTCTTGTATAACCCTTCTTTTCCCATCTCTGTGCCTTTGCTCAGGCTGTTTCCCATGCCTGGAATGCATTCCCTACTCATCCCAGTGACTTAGGAATTTCTTGCTTTATTTGAAACTCAGCTCAGGAATCTAATAAAGCCTTCCCTAATCTCCTTAGCTGCTAGTGCCTTCCTTCCAAATTACCTTGTATTTATTTTATATATATTTGTTTATGCAGGTGCCATCTTATCTGTTGGAACTGAAGTTCTTTGAGGGTAGAGGCTGATGGCTGGCATGCAGTAGGTGCTTAATAAATACTTGCTATTCAAAATCTAGTAAGTTCCTGCTGACAGCCATGGGCTACCTGAGGGATGTTTTTCCTACCTACTACTGGTGGGGTGTTGGGCAAGTCAGTCCCCCTTTCTGAGCGTCAGCTTCTTTATCTTTAAAAGAAGGAGTTGACCTAGGAAATCTGTAAGGTCCCTCCCAGCTCTGTCTCCCATGACCTCACTATCTTTTTTAGTCTGTCTCTTTTTAAAAAGAGGGAACTCTTTTAGCTTCACCTAACTTTCTGTAGCATATGTGGCTTTCTGGTTTTGGTTAATTAATAGAACTACTAAAAACATTGCATTTCCATAACCAGGGTGCTGCTCTTGGGTCCAGCAAATTGATCAGTTCCTTAATTCACCTAAATATATTGTCACTTAGCCAATACTTCCCCATCTTGTCCACAAAAAAATAGTACAAGGGGCTGTGAAATGCTTTGCTAAAATCTAAGTGTTATATGTATGCAGCGCTTCTTAACCAGGGATCTGTGAACTTTTTTTTTTAATATTTTGATAATTGCATTTCAACATAATCAGTTTCCTTTGTATTTTATTTTATACATTTAAAAACCTCATTGTGAGAAGGTGTCCTTAGGCCTCACCAGAATGCCCAAGGGATCCAGGTCACAAAAAAGGTTAAGAATCCCTGCTCTACAATATTCTCCTGATCTGCCAGTTTAATAACTTTCAAAAGTTTTGACTGTAACACCATAGCATATACAAGGCAGAATTGAGCAAGTTCGGAAAAGAATGCCTGAAATGATTATAGAAATGAATGATGTGAATCTTTTGGAATAGACTAAAAAAATTAAGGCTGATTGGAAGGGATTATAGTTGAAATACCAGTTGTCCCAAAAGTCTTAGTGCAGTTTTAAGCTGTCTATAAAAAACTAGGGAGATTGTGGAGAGTGTAATTGTAAGACTTCTTCACTTCATGGCTTCCCAGAATGAGAGACTACCCAAGGAAGCTTTAATGTGATAGTTTTCAGACATATGAAGGATAATTGATGATAATTATTATTATACCTGATATTTACATAGAACCTTACATACATGATCTCGTTTGAACCTCACCACAAGCCTGTGAGGTAGGTACAATGAGTATCAATATCCACATTTTACAAAGGAGGAAACTGAGGCACAGAGATTAAATCACACAAGTCATTAAGGGCCAGAGGAGGTGTTTAAACTCATGTCTTCCTAAGTTTGAATCCTGCATTCTCTCTATTCTGTCTCCATATGCCATGTCACTTCAGGTTATGGAACAGGCAGAACATTTAAATAGGTTCAGAAATTGTTTTAGCCAAACTCCTGCCTGATGAATGCATAAGCATTTATTCAAGGGAGTTAGGGATGTTTGGTGTATATAGCTAACTATTTATTCTCTGTGTGATGAAGAGCAACTTGATGACACTCAAACAATATGTGGTGAAATGGACTTTTAGGAGAACCTAGAATAGTTTGTCTTCTATGCAGGGTGGCCCATCTCATTTAAAAGAGAGCATGGGCAGGATCTCTGCCATTGTCTTTTTTCTGCAAAGAGCACAACACTACGTGGAATTAGCCACTTAAACCAGGTGGATTGTCTTTA